GCTGCTCCTCCTCTAGTATCATGATATTTTGTGCATTATCTGTAAACTGATTCCATTGGTTATTTCTATTAATTTAGTATGCTAAAAACTACTAAAAGGCAAAGATGTGTCTTGTCTTTATAATCATCGTTGTACCACTCAGTCATTTGTTCATCTAAGTGCCAAAATTATAGATAATAGTCTCTGTCCTTAAGTAGTTAGCAGCTTGAAGATGAGGAAATGTCACTTCACTTATGCTAGTGTGAGAAATGTGATAGATGCATCTTATTTTATTTTCTGGTCTCATTTCATGTAAGTGAATTTTACTGTGAGAATAGTAGCTTCAGAAAAACATTGATTTAAATAGTTATAAATTATATGAGACATTTTTTGATTATTCATGTTTTCTTTTAGAAGGTAATTGAATGGGCCTTTCAGTTTTGTATCTTCGAAGTCTACTTGAGATGGTCCATATATAAATATATTGGAATTAATGTGTTATTCAAACACCAAATATAGAAGTTTCAAAATTTTGCATATTTTAATTTCTTTCTTTTAAAAAAATTATTTATATTTATTTTTTTAAGATTTATTTATTTATACAAGAAATGGGGTACAGGCCAGAGGCACAGGAGGGTGAGAGAATCTATCAGAGATAGAGCAGGGAGCAGAACAGGCAGAAGGACCAAAATACATTCTGAGGGGAGCATCGGGTGAGACAGGAGACGTCTGCCCCGCCATATGGGAATCTCCCTGGCTGTCTGGATATCGAACCGGTGCCAGGGAGGCTGTGGACAGTGTCACAGTGCTGTGCTCAACCTGCTGTGCCACTGGGGAGGCCCTAATTTATTTCTGATTTTTTGCATGCTCAGTGATTGATCAGTGGTATTATGTTTCACAGCAAGAGATATTTAGATCATACTGTAACTAGAATGCATTGTAACCATAATTGCTTCCTGCCTTTGGAGTTTATGAAAATGAAATGTTCTGATTATGACAGTTTTATATTATGTGGGATGTTCAGGTTATGAATGACTAGAATTGAGACTGTAGATGCTCAGAAGCAGTACAAAGGCCTGCTGAATTTTCTTTAGCAGTAATACAGTAGAAGAAATGATAGATTATTCCACTGTCTTTTAATAGATGGACTGATGGATTTCACAATACAGAATTCAGTGTTTTTTTCAGGGTACTGTAAGTAGCATAAGGTTTTTAACTTGTTGGGGTCTTTTTTTTTTTAAAGATTTATTTATTTATGCATACAAGAACTGGCCAGAGATATGGGGAAGGGGTGAGAGGATTCACTAGAGACAGAGCGGAAACAGAACAGGCAGACTGACAAATACACTGCTTAGGGGAGCAGCAGGTGAGACAGGAGAGGCTGGATGTGCCATATGGGTTGCTCACTGGCCGACTGGGATGGACTGGGATCGAACTCATGCTGCTGAGGCTGTGATTGCTTCATAGTGCTCTGCTTAACCTCTTGCACCACCAGGGAGGCCATTGTTGGTTTTTTTTTTTAAATAAATGTTTCATTGTATTTCTTTTTTAGTCATTAGTTACCAAAATTAGGAGCTCTGTATAGAAACCTAGTAATATATTCATTATATTTTTGTTTAATTCACATTTGTGATGTATAAATTTACAGTTAAAACTTTTTTTTCTTGTTGCAGTGTTTTCTGAGGAAAGGGGTGTATTCTCAAATTCCATTGTTTTAAATGAAAAAAATGTTAAATTTTCTTTGGAACAGAATTTTACAGGTGTGACATAGTATTGGTTATTGGCTTAATGATCTGGCTTAAATAGTATTAATCAGAAATGAACTTACTCATTGGGTTCACATTTAAACTGTGGCATGTTGAAATAATTTAGGTCTCCATCTGCACATCTGAATTCATTTTGTAAAATATGGCAAACAGCTGCATTTCAATTGAAAGCTAAAACAACTGTAGGACATTAACCCATTGAGAAGATTACAGTAGGTTTTCAGTTCCATGTTAACTGTATTTATTAGAGAAAATTGACTTGAGTGCTTCTGCTTTTAACTGACTTTCAAAAAAATGGGAGAAAGGAAATAAAGCATTGGAATGATCGGACTTTGATGTGTAAGAAGTTAATGTCTAAAGAAGTTAATTATCTAAATCATCAAGCAAAATTTGGTATGGGAAATAATTATTTTAAAGATTCTAATGAGCTGTTGGCTCATCATGTCAAGAAAAATGTTACTCACCTGTTTGATTTAAAAATTAAATAACTTGACTGAAAGGGTGATCGTGGTTATAATAAAGTAGAATTTGGACCTTTTTTTTTTTTTTTTTTTTTTTTTTTTTTATAGAGGCATGTTTTATTTATTTATTTGTTTGTTTGTTTGTTTTGTTTATACATGCACTGGGTACAGTCAGAAGCGCGGGAGGGTGAGAGAATTCACCAGAGCCAGAGCGGGGAGCAGAGCAGACAGAAGGACCGAAGTACACTGCTGAGGGGAGCAGCGGGCGGCAGGGGAGGTCTGCGCGCCATGTGGGACCCTCCTCCGGTGGCCTGGGAGCAGCCGGGGATCGAACCGGCGCTGCAGAGGCCGCAGGCAGCTTCGCAACCCAGCGCTCAACCGCTGCGCCACCGGGGAGGCCCTAGAATTTGGACCTTTTTATCTCTTTCAGTAAATACTCTTGATGTGAAACATTTGCAATAGGGAACAACCAGAGAAAACTGGTGTTTTAATATGAATTTATTTTCTGAAATGTTTTTTCTTCAAAGTGCTTTTAAATGGCGTGATTGGATTTGTAAAATGAAAAGGGCAGATTGCTCTAGCAGTGTCTCAGGATATCTAGCTACATGATAATCACAGAGTGGCATTTCTTCAAATTTGAAGTGAGGCAACTGAAATCATGACTCTTCTTGGAGGCTGGGGTTAATACATAATCTTTGAGTTTAACATTTCCTCCAGGATATCATATCACTGTTAGTCTTCTATAGGGATAATAGGGAAACATTTTTCTAAGGTCTTGAGAAATCCGTGCTTCTGTATTGTTATATCCTGGTTCTGTAAAACTCTGCAAGTTTTTGGTTTTGTGTCTGTTTTCCCCTAGTCTTGGACTGATGAAGTGATTTTTTTTTTTTAAATCTGAGTTTCAGAGATAATAGTTCTTTTCCAGTTATAGGAAAAAAAAACTTATTTGAAAATTATTTGTGAAAAAAGATAGGATACATTGATGCTTAAAAAAATGATAGTCTTTCATAACATTAGTGTTTTGGTGTGTTTTAGAATTTTGGTTTTCAAGCTCATTTTTGTTGGAATAGTTTTCTTTTCCATCTTTTTCTCTGCTTTTGCATTTTGCCTAGTGGTTTGGGCCTGTTCCTAGGGACCAGCCCTCAGACTAGACAGAGCTTATCTGCTACAGAGGGATATTGGGATCTTCCAGATCTAACCTTTTTTTTTAATTGTGCTGCTTGTTATCATCTTTGTCATGTTTTCTTCTCTGAAGTTTCAAGCTATGAGCTATCTTAGGAAGTAGTTTGTAGTATTTTTTTTTCAGCCGCCTTTCATGTGACCTAGCTCTTCATTTCTGCTCCAGGTAAATGACCTTGGTTCAGGTTTCTTTTATAATTTTAGCTTCCATTGCCCAAAGGAGTAGTCAGGTTAGAGAGATGTTTAAGGAGAATAATTTGGCAGCAATGTGGAGAATAGAGATGGAAAGAGAGAAGGTACAAGTAGAGCTAAGATAGGGCCATGACAGTAGAACATGATGGGGAAAATATTACATAAACAGAGCAATATTTATTTGACTTCTTATAAATTACAGCGTGAGTAAAAGGAGTTAGAGATAATGATTGAGATTTTGAACTGGGGTTACAGGTGACAAGAGTGATGACAATGGTGAAAATAAAACTTACAAGGTAGCTAATATTTGTTGAATTACATTGAGGCTTTGCAGTGAAAATGTTCATGTTTCTTAAGCTTTTTTGATTGTGGAAAAAGGTAGTCTTAAATTTGTCATAAAATTTTTTAAAAGAGATCACAAAAGGAAGAACTTTTAAGGCCTCTATTTATAATAACAGCTAACATTAATTATGTGCTTATTCTGTGCTTAGATGGTCTGATGCTTTGCACATAATTAGTTCATTAAATTCTCACAATAACCCTAAGAAGGTGGAATTATAGTCCCATTTTATAAATGAGGAAAATGAAGCACAAAAGTAATTTTCCCAAAATTTCTAGAAAAGAGGGTTGGGATTTAAACTTAGCAAGTCTGACTCTTAACTAGCTTAATATACTTACAATAAGTTCTCAGTATTGCTGTATCATATTCTAAATTTGTTAATTCTTCTCTACACTGCACAATATTTCTGTTTCAAAGAAAATTATAGCATTGCAAAGTTTACATAAACAGAAACTAACAGCTAATATTTATTGAACATCAGCTTTATTTTATTGGGGAAACATTTTACATTGATGAGCTACTTAACCATAAGATTGTAAAATATCACTGTGTTTACTTGTGATCTACAGATTGACTTTGTCTTATTTGTATTTTACACTTTGATTCAAATGGAAATTCACCTTGTATCTTATACCTGTGGATTCTTTCTTAAAAATGAAATAGCACTTGAGAAACATCAGACTTGTTCTGGTATTCTAGATGGACCTGAGGGCTGGGGGAGGTATTTGCTCCCAAGGACCAGTTGGCTCTCCCCAAATTATTACCAGTGAACCTTAGGACACTTGGAACACATTCTGTGCCCTGTGCTCTATAAAAATACTCTAATTATTTTTCTTTTATTATTTATTATAAAACATGTACTGGAGTGTTTATCTGAGTACTTTTTTGATACTATGCTTGATTAAGCAGTTTTTTTCATTTTTAGTGTTTCATTTAGTGAAGAACATTAAGTTGAACAAATTTATATAAAATAAATCAGAAATTTAAAATTTTTCTGTACTTTCTTGAAGTAATTACTTCTTTTTTCATGCATTTAATTACAGTTAAATACATTTTGTAAACTTTTTTCACCTTTTTATTTAGATGAATAATACAGCAGCCAGCCCAATGTCTACTGCCACTTCAAGTAGCGGAAGAAATACAGGGAAGTCTATAAGCTTTGCAGCAGAATTACAGAGTATGATGTAAGTATGTCTCTGCATCTTGCTTACCTACTAAGTTTACTTATGTTGATAACAGGCAGTAGAAATAACAAGTTATAAGACTTCACTTGGAAATTTGTGCTAATCAAGTAAAAATGAAACAGTTGATTACATTTTCAGGAGCCATCTGCAGAAGAGGCAGAATTGCTTACACATTTTGGTATATTTAAAAAATAAGAATTGATTCATCTTTGTGAATGATATAATGAACCATCTTGTAAACATTTTTGCTCTAATTATCTGCCCAAATCTGTTATGAATTATTACTATTTTAGTTTTAGATTTAGAAAATGTTGAGATTACCTGTATTCTTGGGTAGTGGACATGTTTTCACAGAGTTCACTTCTCAAATGTCATAATTCTATGAGTGTAATTTAGTTTTTAGTTTTTATAACACTTGAAATCACTGTATTTCATGATGTTGAGAAACAATTTAGGACATTTAGAAAACAGTTTTTGAGAAATTGTGCAGTCGTTAAGATTTGCTTTCCTAAGACTCACTTCAACTTGATTTTTTGGCTTCTTATTTGAATGAGACTTCATATTTTGAATAGATGGGCAGTAACATTTATTAGGTATGTCTGCTGGCACTACTCATTTTACTTTATTATTGGTTAAACAGGTAAATATCTGCATAAGGGGGATAATACAGAGACTTCTTTCCCTATGGTATATTATTCACGACTTATCAGACAGTTTTAAAATAATGTTTCTGTTGAAGGCTTATTTATCCTCGTGTGGCTGTATGTAGATAGTTGTCACAGTGGATTAATTCCACTGTGGTGATTTTTGTTCAAAGGAAAAATGAGCATATACGTAACACTTTAATTAACATTGAAAACATTTAGGTCATAGCTTCTTAAACATTTTGGTTTCAGGTCCCTTTACATTTAATTATTGAAAATTTAAAACAGTGTTTATGTGGATTATATCTATTAATATTTATTACTTGAGTATAAAGTAAAAATTGTTAATTCATTTAATTAATTATAAACATTAAATGTTAGCTTAAACAATATATGGCCTATAAAATAATTATATTCTTAAACCTAAAATTGGTAACATGTTTTGTTAGATATGTGAATAAATATATGAATTTAGGAGCTATGTGGAAAATTTTACAAAGGGTTTATGCTTATGTATACTTTTTGTATATTTAAGTTTTTTCATTATTTGTCTGTGGCTTTATGTTAAGAATCTCTTATATTACAATAGTTATGTTTAAATGAATTAAGTGTGCTGTAGAAGGTTTATAAGGTGAGAATATTCATTTTTCTGTAGAGCCCATTCTTTGATTTACTTTTGCATATTAAAAAGTTTTTACTTTTCAAAATTTCAACTCATAAAATTATAGTGAATAATACACCCAACCCCATGCATCCACTATTTAGTTTTAACAATAAGTGTGCTTTGCCAGTCTTATTTAACCTTTCTCCCTACTCAACTTTTTAAAAAAGGAAATAATTTAAAGAATATCCCAGACATAATATTTCAGTATTGTGTATTTAAACAATACTGTTAATAGCTAAAACAACATGTTCTTTAGCAGCGGTCAGCAGATGACAGCCATGGGGCCCATGTTTTTGAAAATGAGGTTTTATTGGACCTCTGCCACACTCATTCATTTATCTGTTATCTGCCTTTGCTTTCATGTTACATAATAGAGTTGAGTATTTGTGACAGAGATCATATGACTAATAAAGCTGAAAATAATATATGGAAGTACAGAAAATACTTATTTTCATGTTGTAGAAAAAGTTAGATGACCGCTGATCAATGGAAATAATAGCGTTCTAAAGAGGAAAGTGGTATTTTTGCCTTTTATACTTAGTAGAGGATCTTATATTGCATTTGATGGGTAGCAGGACACGTAAGTAAACTGAGAAAAAAAATAAAAGCTAAATTCAGCACTTTATAAAATACTTTTGCAAACATATTCCCAGCTAATGTGCTTAAGTTGGATACAGAATGCAAAAGTTATTGTTGGCTCCAATTTTGGAAGAAATGTATATTTTACTTCTATTTCAAACCTCATGCAGATGCCACTCCTAATAGTTTTATTTATTACTTATGGTCTGAAGTTACTTTTTCCCCTTATGTATTGCTTCATAGAATAGTTGTTCCATAGGAAAAAAAGGTCAAAATTGGGGGAATCTTTAATTTGTCAATATTTTCTATTGATATATAAGGTTTTGGGCTTTGGTAGGCTTAAACAATATATAGCCTATAAAATAATTAGACTAAATATATCTTTGATCCTTGCTAATGTGATTTCAAATAAGGAACTGCGGACTTGAGTTTCTGTGTTTTATTTTGTGTTGTAGGAATTTGTTCTATGAATCCCTACTTTTCCCCCCTGAGGTTTTACAGTTCTTCTAAACTATATTGCTGCTTTTCAATCCTCTGGTGCAACTTTCTTCCAGACCCATTGCCACTAAGGAGTTTTTCTCTTGGTTCCCTGCCCTCTAAATAATTATCATTATTGTTGTATTTTCTGGGAAAGGTTTCACTGAAAGGTGTCTAGTTGTCAAGCATGTGAAATTGTCATGGTCTGCTAATTAAATATAGAACTGGCAGCCAGTCTGTCCTACTAGAACCTGGATAGAATTTGCTGTATTTTAAGCTTGGGTGGTAAATACTACCAGTGAAGTATTCTTTAGGAAGTAATTCTATAAATTTCAAAGTTAAAAAATTAATAGATGAACAATTGCTAGTGGTTGGTATGGGCTTTCCCATAGTGCATTTAACTGAGCACACTAGCTATATCTTCCTTTGCACAGTACAGCACTTTGAATGAATAGTAGTGGAAGGATCCAAAGATTTCTCATTTTTAAATTCTTGAGTTTAAGTAGCCTGTAAACAAGACAGTAAATATTTTCAGTCTGCTTGCAGATATTTTAACAAACTTCTTCAGTTTCAGTGTACTTTGAGTCTTAATTGGGCTTTCTTTTTCTTATTTTACTCATTTATATATTTTTCCCTTGTTGTGCTGTACTTTTTCAGGTTTATAGGTATGGTGATAAGGCCAGGTTTCTTTACTTGGTAACATTTAGTAAGTCTCAAGTGACCAAATTTAAAAAATATTTTGTTTGCATGTTACTTACATTTTGTAAGAATTCTTCCAAATGAAAATTTCTTTCTTATTTAAAGACCACACATTGAAGACATTTTTTAGCATCAGTTTTCTGAGAAAGCAAAATTTACTCTTTTACTTACATAGTTCTGCAAGTTTTGCATTTTTTTAAAGAAGCATTTATTGAGTCCTGGCGTGACCTAAATGGCTTTGAGATAGTCTAGCAAGAGAGAAGGGTTGTGGAGACCAATAATTGTCATGTAATAAGATATGAAAAATTGCATGGTGTAGTACTAAAGGAAAGATTGAAGAACTGAGGGTAAATATCCTAACTTTGGGTCTGTACTTCTGACTACCTCTTGGTATGCCCATTAAGTATTTATGAACACCTCAAATTTGTTATATGCAAATTATTCTGAGTAATTTTCTCAGTGAGATTTGCTTTTCCTCTTGGAAATTTTTGGTATGCATAACATTTACTTCATTTATTCCTTGCTGTACTATACTAGGGCATATTTGTATAGGTGGAATGGTATCATTTGGCTTTTATTATAATGAGGTTATGAGCTGTGATACAATATGTTTCCATTTTATCCTTAAACTTTGAAGAGTTGTAATATGCAAATATATATGAATTATTAATACATAATTATTAAACTAACGTAAATACTGAGTTTCCCTAGATCATTTAAATTTTTTAGGAAACTGGAGGGAAAAGAAATTCTTTAAGGTTAAATATTACAACTTCAGTGATGCTTTAATAATGGCAGTGATAGTAGTCAAGCTTGTGTAGAGCATACTGTGTGCCAGACACTCTCCTGAGTACTTCTACATTCATTTCATTTAATCCTCACAAACCCCTATGAGGTAAATACTGTTACTCCACTTTCATAGATGAGAAAATTGAGACACTAAGGCTAGTAACTTACCCTAGATGCCCTTGTAGTAAAGGCAAGACCTGGATTTAAACCAGTAAATCTGACTCCAGAGTTCATGCTTTTGGTAGTTGTGCTAAACTACATTTCTTTCAATAAAACTTTTATTGTGACTTATAAATTTAGTTTACAAATGAGCTATTAGTTTACGTGTGACGTGTGTATTGTAATTAATAATGTGAAAGCTAAATAATTGTTCATTTCATTATTTATTAGTAGTGAGGTTTAATTTTTATAGAAAATAATAGGTTATTTTAATTTTCATATTGCTATTACATTTATTTTGGTTTCTTATACCTTATAAGCACCAAATCTTTTTAAACAGGAGCATATCAGTAACCAAGAGGAAATACAATTTTTCATCAATTATATACATATAAACTCCTTATTGTTTGTTCATAAATGTGGTATTTCATAATTTTGGATATAAACATGGCTACATCATTTCTCTTGACTATTAAAATATTCGTTTTGCATTTATGTTTATCAGTATTAAATAACATTTTAACTCCTGATATTTAAGTAACACTGAAATATGTGGACAAACAGAATTATACCTTTGTGGAATGCATCTATTTGGAATATTTTAAGATATATAATGATTTATAAACATCATAATAATGGGGAAGATTTTCAAATTATAAAATTGGTTACAATCTTTCCTGAAAGTGAGGATACATGTGAGAAGTGATTGAGAACATAAAAGTGCTGTATAACTAGAAATTGGTTATACTTTTTGTCCTTTCAGAAATGAAATAAGGAAATGTTTGAATAGCTAGAGCCAACTGAATTAAGTGTCTGTATTGAAAAAATGTGCCATTTTATAAACAACAAAATACAGTTTTGAATTTGTGCTTAAATATTCTTATCATTTCTTTCATGAAAAGAAAATAACTAGACCTTTCATTTTAGGATAGGAAATGCATAATTGCCAGGGGAAAAACATTTTACTTACTCTAAGAAGTGAATGTTTG